CTCTCTTCCTGGAGTTTCCAGAAACTGGTATTCAGGAGACGAGGCAGAGCACACCATCATGTATGTACACTGTGCCGCCTCTCCTTACGCACTGCACAGAAAGAAGTCACTGGCTCACACATCTCCGTCTAAGCCAGCACATAATATGGAAACAGGCCTAATGCCTCTTTCTAAAGACATGAGCCTGTCAGAGCTAAATTGCTAATGCCCCTTAACTACATTAAGATAGCACCAAGGGTATAGGCTAGTTACTTTATCTCTGCCTCCGCTCCACACTCCCATAATGTGATTCTAATGCAACGTGACCATCGGGTCCTCTTTATTTCCCCGCATTATAAATTTAATATAGGAAGCATTATTTTTACGGAACGTCTCGGAGGTTCATCCAACTCCATTTTTCTTCCCGCTTTTTATAACAAAGGGAAGCATTATTTATTTTCATAAGGGCTGTTGCAGTCCCAAAAGAGAGAGAGGAGGAGAGAGAGCCATGTGTTGAAACTTTTTTAAAGTTCATTTTTCTTTTCTCATTCATCAGTCTTGTATGTGTGTGTGTGTTTTAATTTGAAAAATGGAAGTTTGATAAACTCGGTTGAAATAACCATGGAAATGGATCCTTCCAATGGTAAATTCAGGTGGCGAGTGCCAGTAAGATCCCAGACAGAAAGGGGGCACTGAGGAATAGGAGGGGGGTATTAATAAATGACTCGAGACTGCAATGCCTCAAGGACTGCCCCCTTCATGTGAACCCACCCAGACCCTGAGATCAACATCTGAGGCCCTTCTTCGTGTGCCTCCTTCATGAGAGGTCTGGAGGGTGGCAACATGAGAATGAGCCTTTTGTGCACTGGCTCCCCATTTGTGGAATGCTCTCCTCCCCTGGGAGGCTCCCATGGTACATTCATTACAGACTTTTAGGAACTAGGCAAAAACGTTTCTCTTCAAGAAGGTGAATAAACATTCTACGGCTTTTTAATGTCTTTGTGGGAGGGGGGGTATTGTTTTGGGTTTGGTTTATTACGTATTTTGAGCTCTCATTTTGTATTTTAAGTTGTGAACTGCTCCGAGATCGACGGATAAAGGGCAGTATGGTGTCAGTTGGAAAAGAGTAATGGAAAACTGGGGTTGTGGTGGAATGGAGTATCCTGGAGGAGGACACAGTTCTGGAAACCTGAGCAGCGGCAGTCCCTCTGGACCATCTATGAGGGAAAGGCTCAGGGTGAGAGCATCTGCTTTGCATATGAAAGGTTCAATCACTGGCCTCTCTAGATAGGGCTCAGAAAGAACCTTGCCTAAAACCCTGGCGATCCACTGCCAGTCACTGTAGATACTAAGCTAGATGGACCAACAGTCTGACTCAGCATAAGGGAGCTCTCTATGTTTGTTTAGAATTATAAGGCAAATATGAGTTTAGGCAGATTGTCCTCTCTTTGTAACATGGTGTTTCGCCTCAAATATTCTGTTACAATGCTGTCAACACCTTTCATCCAAAATTTCTGTAAAAATATACAGTGGTGCCCCGCAAGACGAATGCCTCGCAAGACGGAAAAACCGCTAGACGAAAGGGTTTTCCGTTTTGAAGTTGCTTCGCAGGACGAATTCCCCTATGGGCTTGCTTCGCAAGACGAAAATACCTTGCGAGTCTAGAGGTTTTTTTCGCTTTCCCCCTTTATCTAATCTGCTAAGCCTTTAATAGCCTTTAATAGCCTTTTAGCAGCTAATCCCTAAGCCTTTAAGCCTTTAATAGCCGCTAAACCGCTAATAGCGCTAATAGCGCTAATCCGTCAATGGGCTTGCTTCGCAAGACGAAAAAACCGCTAGACGAAGACTCTCGCGGAACGGATTAATTTCGTCTTGCGAGGCACCACTGTAGCTGAAAACATTTGCTTGTGAAAGTTTCAAAACACCGTATTTTTTGCTCTATAAGACTTACTTTTTCCCTCCTAAAAAGTAAGGGGAAATGTGTGTGCGTCTTATGGAGCGAATGCAGGCTGCGCAGCTATCCCAGAAGCCAGAACAGCAAGAGGGATTGCTGCTTTCGCTGTGCAGCAATCCCTCTTCCTGTTCTGGCTTCTGAGATTCATAATTTTTTTTTTCTTGTTTTCCTCCTCCAAAAACTAGGTGCGTCATGGTCTGGTGCGTCTTATAGAGCGAAAAATAGGATAGCTAGGTGGGAATTCTGAACAGAACCCAGGATCTTAGAGCAAAAGGATGCATTTAACCTTCTACGGTTATTCATCCCAATGTATAATGCAAGAATTCATCTTGCCTCCAACAAGTTCCTTGAGCAACTAGGAGTGATTCCTATGTATTACACAGCCGAAGCCTTAAAGGGGGGGGGGGGAATCAATTGCAAGTAAACCAGAAACAAGCATGTGTGTTTAACCACACACCCTGTTGCATTTAAAGCACAAGCAAAGATACAGCTTTTACACTTGTAATGACATTTGTGCCCTACTTTAAATGTTACCAAACTGTTTGTCTAATCCTTTAGGAAACACCATAATAAGGCTCATCTCCTTACTTGCAGCCCATTAGGAAGGCAAACACAAAGATTTAGTTCCTCAAGTCTGTCTCTAAATCTTCTAAGTGAAAGATGATTTACAGTTAAGCTAACAGAAATGTGACCGCCCTGGAGTCTGGAAAGCCTCAATCTGATTTGGGTAATCTTAAATCACGAGAAAAGATCTCGTCTCACGAACCTTGGATTCATTTAACGAAAAAATCAGAGCCCATTGCGAGACATTCATTAAATTATAAAAAAGGTTTATGGAGCTTTTCTAACACAGGAAGAGTGTCAGCAATCGCCTGGGAACCAAGCAAAGGAAGAGGTGGAAATAAACCCTTTTTCAGGGGAGCCAGATAAGGATTATTATTTTTTCACACACATCTCTCCCCCAAAATGGCATAAATTAGTCAACATTTTTATGAGGAGTGAAAAAGTCAAGCTCAGATATTTTAATTAGGAATATTAAGACGGTGGTGTCTCAAAGTTCAAGCCAATGTCTTTGCTGTGGGAGATGGGAGCGCTTCAAGCGTGTACAGCTCACTGACTGACCTTGTACTTAATCTAAACAAAGTACCTAGTGGTTGTGATTTAGCAAGTCAGGGAGAAATCTTATCTGCTTGGTGTACAAATGGAAGAGTTACCAGTTGTGCATTTTAGGTGTCAAACAACAGACCTGACAATGAGCAAAGGTATCTGCTTTTGAGACTGCCAGTAAGGGCCCTGCCATATACAGTGGTACCTCAGGTTACATACGCTTCAGGTTACAGACTCCGTTAACCCAGAAATATTACCTCGGGTTAAGAACTTTGCTTCAGGATGAGAACAAAAATCGTACTCCGGCGGCGCAGGGGCAGCAGGAGGCCCCATTAGCTAAAATGGTGCTTCAGGTTAAGAACAGTTTCAAGTTAAGAACGGACCTCCGGAACGAATTAAGTACTTAACCCGAGGTACCACTTTATTACACAGCTCAAAAGCTGGTTTGCTGCCAGTGGACACTCAGCAGGGAGCTGCATCCAACTCAGGGACTTAACAGGTGTACCTATATATAAGGATGGGGGAGAAATTGGATTCAGTTTTCATTTAAAGGTGAAGCCACCTAGTTCACACTTTCCAAAACAAAACAGCAACAATGTTGTCCTTTGACATTCCTCTGAATTTTGCAATGCAGTTCTCCGGCCATGGGGACATATAAAGGCATAATTAATGGAAATAACATATAAAAATACATTATATTACAGTAAATTGCCTTGCAAAAATGTGTATATTATGAGAAACTCTCACCAAAATGCTGATGAATTTTCCCGAGGGCTTTTCTTTTTTAACTACAAGACTGACTCTACAATTCTACCATGTGGAAATGTGCAGAACTGAAGTTAGGATTAGAAACCAACACTGACATATTTGCCCATCCCTGTACTTCCAAAACACATGTCTGCTGCATTGCATTCTTAGATGTTCACTTAAAAAACTATTTTAGACATATGAACATACACACATGAAAAGATGGAGTCCGTCAACAGTGTAGGTAATTAACAGCATATATGATTACTACAGCCAGAATCTTGTAGACAAAACAGTAGCAATTACAAGGGCAGGAGAAAAAGCAGGAATAATTACGAAGAACACCCACAACTAAAGGTTGTTAGACAAACTGGGACTTTGCCTCAGTAGCAAGCTTAACACGTTAGGTCAGAATGAAGGGGGGAAAGAAAAGTTGGAATAAATTTATGGCTCATTGAATACACTTTATCAATTTCTGTAAAAAAGAATATGCCTGACCACATATACAACAATGCTTAACAGGAATCTAAATGGATGGCAAGAACACAAAAACACCCCTGAGCAAATAAGTTAAATAGAGTTTGAAATTTAATGCTATCAAGTATATACATCACTACAATTGAATTGTTAGCAAGATATACTTAGAGTAGTAGACCCATTTAAATGAATGGGCATGACTAACGTAGGTCCATTAATTTCAACAGGCCTACTATGATACAATAATTTACTTCTAGAATTATTTCCTTTAAAAATATGTGTGGTGCACTGGATAGACAAACTTTGTAGTTTGCTGCTCTTTAATTTAGAGAACTCCACTTCTCTGAGCATAACACATTTGCTCTCATTTTTGTTTCACTGAGGGTGCTGTTATGTCTGTTTTGTGATCAGAAATAGTAATAATGAATTTAACAGAGAATGTAGCAAAGTAGTATGTGAAGAAGACTCAAGAATGGTTTCACATTTAATATGGCATCAGGTTGACCAATGTTTTCTACAGCATATGCATAAAAATGTAAAGGGGGGGATACATGTTCCCAAATACTTGGGGAAACAAAATGGACAACCACTGGTCATCAACATGACCAGTCAGCCTATGCCATTTTGTGCCATTTTGCTGACTTTGGATTCACACATCTCGCATCACACCGTACGACACATGGTGGGAACTTGTCCTTCAGTCACACAAACAAGCCTTATTCTTTCTTTCTTTTTTAGAGCAATGTGTTTTCAGCAGTAATTCTTGCAACATGATTAATGGAACTGAAGTTAAGGAGAGCTTGTTCCCCGGGGGAAGCTGTTTTCATGTGAACAGCTCCAAGTCTCCATTTTCAATAAAGCTTTGTTGCAGGCTTGGCTTCTGTGGCATCTTTCTATTTTACAACTTGAGCAACCCTCATGGCTGCAATGGCTATAGAGAAAGGCCCAACCTGCTTTGCTGTATTTTAAAAACTTGGGGCGTAAAGAGCCTTGGGGTTGACAAGCCACCCTGCCTTCATACAGCCCAGTTCTGTGGGGACACCACAAGGTGAAAAATAATCCCTGCTAACATTTAATTACTGCATTTGCCGGGTTGGCCCTCGGTATCAAAGACATTCAACACTTCTCCTTCAACATCCCACATCATTCCTTGATTATACCCCACAACTCCGCCAACTCCAAAGCTATTCCACTGAAATTGTTATGGTGACGCAGTAGTAAATGGCCTTAGAGGCTCAAATAAGGCACGCCCTGAAGAATCCCAAAGGCGTGACCTGTACTTCTCCTTTTTCTTTCTGCTCTCCTCTGACAGCCAAGCATCTACTAGAAATGACCTGCAGACAATTCGTTTTAGAAGCTGTCGGCACCTTTTCTTTATCAGCCAAAGGAGCGCTTTGCAAAGCACTCCATCTTCCCCCGCATGGTCTGGGTAGCTTTGTGGCAGAGTGTTCCCAGGCCCAAGCTGGCCTAAAGTAGCAGAGAGTGAGGAACGGCATTAAATCAAAGACAGTATCTTGCATATAGGCTGTATTCATTGCATACCCAGCCAAACAGAAAGGAACAGCCGCCAAAAGACTGAACTAGAACACAGCTGCAATGTGTCCTTTTTATTTGGATGGCATCGGATCTCAGTGAGAGGGAGAGAGCATGCACTGGCTGTAAATGCAGTTGGGCCGGAAAAAGGTGAATAGTCAAAATTAGGCAGGCACAAAGATTCTAGGCAGAAGGGGCTCAGGCAGTGTCCTCACCCAAGTCACACAGTGTCCTCACCAAAAGTCAGCATGGCAGCAGAAGGGAACAGTGCTGCACGGGATGAACACAGGGCGGAACAGAGTGATGTTGCCCCCACAGAGTCATACCTAGGGGTTGGCAAAACCAACCCCTACCGGGGTGAAGGCCCAGGTGGAGTGTGACAATCACCCCAGAAATTGCTGTGTGGTACGCCTCTTTGCTTCATCAGTCCAGCTGGACAAGGTGACTTGGAAGACCCAAATCAGGCCAGGCTAGCTCTACAAACCCACTTCTTCAGATTTGGTTCATCAGTCCAAGCAACTCATCCTTGAAAGATGCTGCTGAAAAGCTGTACCTTGTCTGCTCTAAAACCTGACCGCTAAGTCTGTATTATACCATGGCATCTGCCTCCGGTCCTTTGGATCCTTGTCTGTCCACTTGGAGACCTGACCAATGACCATGTCGCTTGCCCTTGTTCCTTCCACCCGTCTAGAACAGAGGGTGGGGACTCCAGCTCCCATCAGCTGCAGCTAGCATGACCAATGTGTAGGGATGATGGGAGTTGCTCTAGAAGCATCACATATTGCCTTATTCTTTCCTTGTCTACCTCATCTGCCTCCACAGCCTGAGTGCCACCTGATTGGGAGTGAGAGTAGCAAAGCACCCAGAACAAAGCACTTTAAAGTTTCATTGATTTCAGTGGGAAAGTTAGGCACACGCCTAGATCCCTTCCGCTAAAATCAATGAGGCTTAAAAAGTGTATACTTCAGCTGGATTGTGCCCAGGGTTTGGACTGGGTGGGTTTTTTTGTTCTGGGCGGCATGGAGAAGTCTTCATTTCCTGGGTGCCTCGTAGGTCATGCTACCTTTAAACAAAGGGGGAACCTGTGGAACAGCACAACAGTTTACAAGCTTAAAGACATGCGGATTAAAAAAAGGGGGGAATTCATCTAAAGCTGTTACAGTGTTGTGTTTTCAAGCAGACGTTGTTTTCATTGTATTATTTAAGTATTTGTTCTTTTGTGTATTGCCAAAAGCACTTTGGTAGGGTAGAGAGAGCTTCACAAAGAGGGCCATTATCCCTCCCTTCCTTAGCTTTTATACTCTGGCTGCTCAGAATTACTTTCACAGATCTCCTAGGAACACACTTTAAATTCCATTTTAAGAACTCAAGCCCAAGCCCCTACAAATGCAGCTGGTTTGGGGGTTCCTGATCTAGCCCCTCAGGAAGCAGCTACCGCTACACTGAATCTGAAGCTCGCAATAACAGTAGAAGGAAGGAAATCTCCCCCAATCCCTCATCACCCCCCAACCAAAAGGCAATTTGATATGCAGAAGCCATTATCAGGCTGTGTCCATATAGTATGAACACAATGATTGGCATTTGAAAACTTTGAACGTGTACATTTAGTATGTGGTGCTCTGAGTATAAAATTCAAGGGAAACATTTTTATACAGACATATAATCAGGGGGTGGTGGTGTAGCAACCATCAAGGGGGAAGATGAGTGTCTTTTATAGCAGGTGTGGGGGACCTTTGATCCTCCAGATGTTGCTGAACAGCATCAGTCCCAGCAAGCACTGGCAAATGACCAGGGATGGTGGGAGTTGTAGTTCAGCAACATCTGGAGGGCCAAAGGTCCCCCACTCCCATTTTATAGAGTTAGCTAAGGTACTTCCGTTTGCATCTAGATGGCAGATGGCTATTAGCTACTATGCTATGGGGCTGGGGGGGGGGTAGGATGGAACGAAACAGTGGGAATGTTGCCCGTGAAGGAGATGGAAGTCTTGAGTTTTGCAGCTGATGGTCAAGATGGAAGCTTGATGCCACCTTCGCAGTAATGGCTAGAAAAGGTTTCCTGTTTGGGTGGGACTTTGCCTAAGCAAGAAGGTCTTCCTGGCTTTGATGTGCTTAAGCTTGGCCCTTTGGTCCCAACTCATCTTTGTTCACTGGCTGACTTTTGGCTTGCACACCTTAGCTCTGCTTGACCATCAACCACGACAATTTCCCTCCTTAGTTCCAATTCTTGTTTATTCCTCATCTCTGAGTCCTGGCTTCTGGTTCCTGACAACTGCATCATATCAGACAGCTGCCTCTGGCTCAGACCAGACACTCAGACTCTTTCTGTGACAATTGTCCTGCGTCAGCGGTTCCCAGCCCTTCTGCCCTCCCATGGATCACTTGAAAATTGCTGAGCGTCTTGGTGGACAACTTAACGATTGTTCTTTCTGCCTGTTGTAGCAATTGTAATGTGCTGTGCTATGTGTTGTATGGTTTTAATTGTATTTTTGCTGCTTCCTTTATTTCTTATATATTGTATTACCATTTGAATTACATACAACTCAACAGAATTCAAAGTGCAAGTACTCTTTACAGACACTTGACTGAAGCCTGCGGACCACAGTTTGGGAACACTTGTCCTTACCATAACACACAAGAGCCCTGCTGGATCTCACCAAAGTCTCATTGAGTCCAACATCCTATTCTCACAATGGCTAACAAGATGCCTATGGGAATCCCACAAGCAGGCCAGGAGTTCCCTGCCATGAATTCACTGCCTTGAATTCACTGCCAGGGCTGTCTGCCCTGTACTGTGGACACGCCACCAGTTCCCTACATGGACTGAACGGCTAATTTCCTGACTACGATTCCCTGTATCCCCTGTGAAGGCAGATGGCATATCTCTGTGGACTATATACACTGCTGCTTTGCAAGGACTGGCTGCTAAAGGTACATTTAAAAAATGAATGAGGTCACATACCTATCAATTCATGGCCTGAGCCAGAATCTGAAGCTACCCAGCTCTAAGATGACCATGCTCTACTTGGAACCTGTGGCCCTCCTGATGGCGACGGACTGCAACAGGTATCATTCCTGACCACTGGACCTCACTGGCTGAGGCTGATGATAGCTGGAGTTCACCAACACGATATACCTACTCCTGCTTTAGCAGCTTCTCCTGATTACAAGCTGTTTAGAGTGAAGAGGCACCTTGAATTTTACAGTTTTATAGGATCTGGTGCGGCCTAACCAACTTGTGGGTCAGCTGGCAGCATTCAGGCTGGAGCTGCAATGTGGAGCAGGGGTGGGGAGCTGGTGGCCCTACAAAGATTGCTGAATTCCCATCAGCCCCAGCTAATAGTCAGGGATGGCTGGTGTTGGAATTTAAAAAAATAACAATCTGGAGGGACACAGTATAGTAACCTCTGGCCTAGAGTGTGCCCATAATCTAGAGAGCCTAAACACCCTGATTTGTTGAAAGGCCAGACTTTTCGTGTCTCAGGGGACTGGCTGTTGGAGGCTGGGAATCCAAGCCACCCTGGTTACCTCTACACCTTACACTCTGCAAAATATTAACGCTTCGTGGAAGCAGAATGCACTTGTGAAAAAAATCAAAATGGCAAACAAAGTAAACACACATTTTCTGAAGGCCACAGATCAGCAGAAGGAGCTTATCTTTCTAAGGGAAAGGCACCACGTGTTGTCAGACTGCAACTTCCATGACCCCTGACTTTGGCCACGCCAGCTATGGTTGACAGAAGTTGGGAGTCCTACAATATGTGGAGGACAGCATGTTGGCAACCCCAGATCTCTCTGGCCTCCAGCCTAAAGGGAGGCTCCACCAGAAATATAGGGAACAAAGCTTTCCCCTTTAGAAAGACCTGGTGAGAGGTCTCCGTATTCAATAGCAATGTTAGCACACCTGCCAAAACATCTTTTCTATTAGTGTTTATATTCAGTTCTTTGCTTTGCTTTCACATTATAGGAAACAGCTTACAAAGGTACCTTTGTCCTCCCACCAGCACCATTAGTAGCTTTTGAACATCTTGCTTATGTCTCCTCTTTGGATGCGCACATATGAAGTCTATTATTCGCAATTCACTGTTCTCAAAAACCTGTGAAAAGTTCAGCGTAGCAGGTGACTGAATGAAAGCGGCTCCCAAAACATTACAACTTTTGTGTCAGTCGAAGGGCGTTGCCCCAAAGATTGAGCCGCTGAATACTCTCTCATGCATCATGACTTCCCCACATTAAAAGCCTGAGCTAACACTGGACGGAGCTTTTATACTGTGCATGGAGGAAAATTAGGCAGCCTCTTTCATGTGCAAGGTATTTACCAAGAGAGGATCAAGCTTTTGTTGCTCAGCAGAAGTGATGACAATGGAAGAACAACATTAAGTGAGCAGTGCCAAGTGCGCTGCGATTGTGGTGAATCATTCGGGAGCATTTGAAAGACGTCGAGTCGGCTGGTTTTGAACTTCCCCTCACTACGAATGTGGGTGGTGTGCAACACGGCGGGTACACCGGATAACAGATGGCAATGAAAGCAAGGACATAGTCTGAGCCTGTTGGGTCAGGCCAATGGCCCATCCAGTCCAGCATCCTGTTCTCACAGTGGCTGACCAGATGCCACAATGGGAAGTCTGAAAACTGAACATGAGCATAATACCACTCCAACCACCTGTGATTCCCAGCAGCTAGTGGTCAGAGGAATACTGCTTCTGATAGTGAAAGAAGGACATAGCCATTGTGGCTAGCAGCCACTGACAGCCTTGTCATTCACAAATTTGTCTAAAACTCTTTTAAAGCCAGCCAAGCTGGTGCACTGCCTCCTGTGGGAAGGAACCCCATAGTTTAACTATACACTACATGAAGTACTTTATTTTATCTGTCCTGAATCTTCTAACATTCCAGTGGTGTTTAAAAAACCTGTGACCCTCTAGATATTGTTGGATTACCGCTCACACCTTCCCTCACCATTGGCCATGGTGGCTGCGGCTGATGGGAGTTGGCACCCAAACATTTCTAGAGACACAGGTTCTCCCTATCCCAATGCGATCAGGCAAGGCAACTCTTCTGAACTATTCTGCCCATGGCTCTGTCAACCCCTTCCTTCCCCGCTGTGAGGAATACATGCTGGTCTGAAATTTTACAATAAGGGAACTACCTGACATCAAGTCAGCTCCACTGGCCCATCCAGCTCAATACTGTCTATACTGCCTGGCAGCAGCTCTCCCAAGATTTCAGAGAAGGTTCTCCCCCATCCCTAACATGGAGATCCCAAGGATTGAACCAGGGACCTTCAGCATGCAAAGCAGATGTTCTACCACTGAGCTATGGCCCTTCCCTACGAGGTTGGGTAGGAGAGGAGAACAAGCAAGAGAAACTGCTGCATTGGGTTATTTAAAGGCAACGTACATGTGATCTAAGCTTTCCAGGTAGCAGCCCTGGACTCAAGTTCAATTCCTGGCATCTGCAGTTACGAGCAACATGGATCGGGAGGCCTTTGCCTGAGCAATCATCAAGTCAGAGTTGACAACAGAGTTAGAGATGGGCCAAGAATCTGTTATAAGCTTGTGTGATGGTAGCCGCTTCTCTTCTTCCTCCGTGAATTTGTCTAATTCCTTTCTCTCACCATTAAAGTAGTGGACATCACTAGATAGCATGACAACGAATGCCATCAGTTAATTATACTCTGTATTGTGAAGAAAGGCTTTCCTTTTGCCTGCCAGTCAGTTTCATTGCATAAACTTGAGTCTCAGTATTATAAATACAAGAGAGAGCACAGACGCGAATACTCCCTAACGTACTCGCTCTTCACCATGCATAAAGTCATACATCCTTATTGCAGTGGTGCACACACATTTTTTAAGACTCCAGGACACATTTCATGGGCAACCTTTCGGGAAGGCATGCATGGCAGTGATGGGCAGGGCCAGAGACAAAGAGCAGATGAAGCCACAGAGGCAACTTGGACCTTTGTACTGTATTCTATGTTCCAGCAACACAGTCAGAGGGTTCAACATAACCGCCCTCATCTCTACATCCAGGTGAGAATGAGGCATTATAACAGTTCAAAGGCAAATTGCAGCAAGGCAAAATCACTCAGAGAAGGCAATGGAACCGTGGTGAGGCCTCGAGGGCAGAGTATGGCTTGGGGTTAGGAATGGGAGGGAAATTCGATTCAGTTTGCATTGAAAGTCAAATTTACCTAATCCACATTTTCCAAAACAGCAAGTAAACTTAAACACAGGCTATTCTTCGAAATTTGCACGTATCCAAATTTTGTAATGCAGTTTGTCAACCAAACACAAAATATGCACAAAAATGCATATACCAGGGTAAAGCGTACACATAAATGAACATATTAGTAAAGATAACATGCAAAAACAAAAAAGGAAAATTGCTTTGCAAAAACGTGTATATTAGAAAAAAAATTATGCTCAGATAATGAATTTTCCTGATTATGTGTTTTTTAAAATGCAAACTGATGTGGAAATGTGAAAAGTGGAAGTTAAGGTCGGAAAAATAGAAACAGAGAGAAACCAAAATTGACATATTCACCCATCCCAACCTGGGATGAGTCCCAGGGACCAGGCGGAAAGGGTCACATTCAGTTTCCCGGCAAACAGGAAAGACAAATTAAGAAAACAACCATGGCTGCTTTCTCACTTGGTCCCTGCTTCTCCTAAAGATAACCCAGATCTTACTCTTAGAGCAAGGTAAAGTCACAGTGGCTAAAATATAGTGTCAGGTGGGTATCATTCCATGCCATGCATCTCCCTTGCTGCTGATTTTTCAGTCTTAACATGTGTCAAAAAAGAAAACTAAAGTACCAACCTGGATGCATAACACTAATGTATTTGCTACTTCAAAAAACATCCACGGCTTGGAGGAATGAACAGCCTTTGGGGGGAGACACAAAAGGTTTATCCATCACCATTAAAACACAATAGTTGCTCGTTCTCTTAAAAATGTCTTCAAAGGGGTAGATGCAGTGTTTTTAACAACAGCCGTAACAACACCTGGGTTCCCCGTCAGTCTGCTCCAACACAATGATAAAAACACATTCCATTAAAACTCCAGGAGGGAACAGAGCAGCATCAAAGTTCTGAAGGACACTGAGTGGAAGCAATGGGAAAGAGAAAGAGCACACAGTGGACTTAAGGGGGTAAAATGTTGGGTTTAGAGTTCTTTTCTACTTCGATGTTTCCTTTTTTCATTAACAGAAAAGCAGATTGGGATCTGTGTCTAAAAGGCAGCATCAAAAACCCATTTCCCAATGTTGCCACCTGCAGTCATCTTTTGCAATTGGTACCAGCCTAGCAAGTGATCCGGGGAGCTCACTGGGGTTCCAGTTTTGAACTAGTGCTCCGAACGGAGGTCTTGTCTACCAAAATGATCGAAGGGCAGGAGAACTCTGCTATGATGAATGGTTATAGCATTTGGGGCTTTTGAGTTTAGAAAAGAAAGGCAAAATGAACTGTGGTCATGACGACAGAGGTGCATAAGATTATGGAGAAAGTGTGTGCAAGAGTTTTTCTCCTTCCCACATAATTCTAGAAGCCAAGGGGCCGTCCTGTGAAGCTTAGTGTTGGAAGATTCAGCACAGACTAAAGGAAGGACTTCTTCACATAGCACATAGTTCAACTATGGAATTTGTTCCTACTAGGGGAAATGATGGCCACCCAATTTGGGTGCCTCCATTGTTAGAGGAAGTATGCTTCAGACTACCTGTTGCTAGAAACTGCAGGAGAGCAGAGTGTTGTGCTCAATGGTCCTGCTTGTGGGCCTCTCAGAGGCAGCTGGCTTGCCAATAGGGGTACAGGATATTGGAACAGATCCTTCAGTCCAATCCACCAGGGCTCTTCTTAGGTTCTGAGACCAATTGTCAATTTAGCCTGATTTTATCTATATTGACTGGAACCAGCTCTCCAGGCGTTCATTTCCAGCCCTATCTAGAGATGCCAGGGATTGGATCCAGAACTTTTTCTACACAAAACAAACGCTCTCCCCCACTGAGCCATGGCCTTTCTCATCCCACATGATTTTGTTTTTTTTTAACCAGGGAGAAACACATTTGAATTTTTTCAGTGTTCCAGGGGATTGTTGATATGGAAGCTACTGGTTATCACTGCCCTGCCGCCCCCCCGCTCCCGTAATTTCAGTGTTAGGATGGAAGAACAAAGCCAGGAACTCTTGTTAAGCACAGAAAAACAGATTTGGAGTCTGACAGCTCTAAGCTTCCTTCTGCCAACCTTGGGGATGAAGCTTATTTGTTTATCCCATTTGGATCCCACCCTCCCTCTGAAGAGCTTAGGCAGGTGTTCCAGCCTCACCGTATCCCTGTAAAGAAGGGGTAGGGAACTCTTTTCAGCCCAAGGGTTGCCAGCCAATATTCAATGAAAGCCATCAGATGAAGGAAAATTAGTGCTTTGCTGCCACCTACAGTTGCGTAAAAAAAATCCTGCTGTTGTTTGATTTGTTGTGCTCACTGACAAGATGAGCTTGTCAGGAAAAAGAAAATGCTGCATTCCATTTGGGCACTTCTGGTCTAACACTGAACTGCTCACCCCACTGTTAGTATTACTGGGTGCTACTATTTCAATATTACTGGACACTTAGGTTGTGGATGATGGCCAAACTGAATAGGAAGCTAAATAAGGCTTTAGTAACCACATCAGATTTTTAGAAGCAGGTGCAGCCCCCAACCCCAACAATATTTGAGATTGCAGCATGTACTGTTTGGTTTGCCTTCCTCCAAAATCTACATCATTCGCCTTGGTGTCTGCTGTGGCAAAATGACATAACTTACGCAATTCACGTAATTCATCACTTTGTCATCATGTTATTCCACCCTGTTCCTTCCAGTGCAAAGGACACATAATGCAAATGTGAAATGGAGGGGACAGAAATGAAATCAGTTATGTGCCATTTGCAGGCTGAAAGCAACAGCAATGGTGAATACCAACTGTATTTGCTTGTTAGAGTTCCGTTCAGGACGTGGGACGATTAAAAACACCAGCAATTCCTATTTCTGTTTTCATTGGAATTCTCCAGAATTCCTATCCCACAACAATATTGTTTACCCTGAGAGAGAAGCTTGCAAATGGAAGCCTTCTTCTGGGGCTAACAGCAGCTGCAAAGTTCTGGTGGGTAGGACCATGGAAGAGTAGAAAAGGGTTGATCCTCTTCTCCCCATGCACTGTAGCCTCCACGGAAAGGGAGAGGAAGGCAACGGGCTGCCTTGTACCAGGTGAAACTATTTATCCATTTAGCCCAGTTCTGGCTACTCTGGCTCGTAGTGCTATAGGGTCTCAGGCAGCAATCTCTCTCACCAGCTGCTACCTTATTCCCTTTTTATCTGGAGACATCCAGGATTGAACTTTGGGACCTTCTGCATGGATAGAACTATGTACCATTGAACTATACTCCCCTTTCTACCATCTAGTTGTACACTCATCTTTCTGGCGTTGACCAATCTGATGGCCCCTAGTTAGCTCACATGGAGAGTAAAACAGAGATTTATTTTAAAGGAGTACTGACACATTGGAATCACAGACAGCTTTAGTAAAGAGAATGCCAGCACGGCTACACTTCTCCCAGCTGAAACTCTTGGCCATTTCAACAAGGTTTTGAAAGTTGTGCAGAATTAGATTTCTTTCAAAAGGATCAAACATCTATATAACCACCTTCCCTCCTTTCTCAGTCTTTGATCAAGAGCTTATTCCTATAAAAACTAAAATGAGGTTGGAGAGCACATTGGCTGATTGTCTAGAATAAACCTTTTCTATTCTCCAGGCATGTTGTTTTTTTGATCCCCTTTTGTTTTCCAAGTCAAAAGACACATTATCTGAAATGACTTGCAAAATTCGGAACAAATATTCACAAGGCTTTCAATGAACTCTTCCCAACCCCTCACTCATCTTTCAGCGTTGCAGAAAATACTCTTATTTTATTCCTGTGCTTTAAAACAAACAGAAAAGGTTGCCAGCTGAGGCTCTCAAGATGGTAGGACCGAGATTTATATCAGGGGGTTGGGGGGGGGGGGAATCCTCCAACAGGCCAACAACTGTCAACAGTTTAAGCGGCTGCTGTTTGGTCAAGTGAGTTTGCATACAGCAGTGATAAGGGGGGGGGGAGAAGAGAATGAAATCAAAGGAGTACAATGTAAACATTTTACAGTTTACATTTAATAAATCCAAATTAAATCCAAATTAAACACCCAGATTCGCCCTGAAAACAGGTCAGGAGGTTGTGTAGTAGAAGTGGATCAAAACCCAACACTGGAAGCCTTAACAAGCAATATTTAGCGTAAAATCTGCTTCAGTTAAAATGCAACA